ACAAGGTGACGGCTCACCCACCAGCCCGCCCACCCGCCTCACAGCCTGGTGATCCCGCACACCTGAGCCTTCCCCCTTTCCTGGGACTGGGAGGCGCCGTGAGTAGGTGCCTGTTCGGAAGCTGGAAGGGGGAGTGAACCTGCTCGGGCCCGGTGGGCTAGTTTCGACTTGGTATGAATTCCTATTTGGTGAAGGGTGCAAAGTTTTTCAGGAAATAGGGGTGAGGTGACCGGACCCTATAGCCTAATGACTAGCAGGAACAGGCCCTGGTCCTGGAACCGCTGATCTCCAGCAGCTGCTGGATGTCCGATTCTGAAGCCTCGGGTTTGGCCACCAAGTCGTGCCCTTGCGGGAGGAAGCCGGATGGCGCGGGTACCAGCCTGAGCATTCCTCCCATCGGGAACCCGAGGGTGAGACGCAGCCGCTGCTCAGGATCCCGGGCTCTGCTCTGATCTCTCCTCCGGATTACCCTGGCTGAATTTACTCAGCCCTAGGGAGCGGTGCACAGGCAGGCGCCAAAAGCTTGAGGCACAAACTCAGCCTCTATTGGCTTGAAAGCCTGTTTTCCTCTGCCTTCCGGGAAGCTGCTGCATGGCTTGGCTAATAATTAATAAGATGAATTTTTAAAAGTCGAGTCTCTTTTCTCTGGAATAGTAAATCTCTGGTTTCAGTGTGTGAAGCTTCTGGGAGAATCCTAATCAAGTTCCCTGATTCTTAACATATTTTAATATACTTCAAGTGTCTCTCATTATTTGAAGCAGCTAATGTGTTTTTATTAAAACAGAGTTATATTCTGTACCTGCTCTATAAAGCTAGATTTCTGCGAGTCTTGCAACTCTTCTAGTTTTTATTTTACTATATTTTATGATTGTGAACCAAAGTAATACTCAGTAGATGCTACTTTCTGTTTAAGAAAAAAATGGTCTTAGTGTGCATGAAAAAGCCAAATTTGTTTCGTTTTGTTTTTGTTTTTGTTTTGTTGAGGGACAAAACCTGTACCATGCATAATGCTAAGGTTGTGGAGAACGAACAGTTTAAGGAGGGGCCCAGCGCTTCTGGATCTTTGCATGTCAAAAGGAAAAGCTACATGTCATGGAATGGGTATAGATAGGTACCCTGAAAGACAGAAATGTGTAATAAATGCTAGATGTACACAGTGGGGTGGGGTGTGTACAGAGACGAGAAAGAGCACTCACTCCCCTGAAGGATCAAGAAAAGTTTCTTGGAAAAGGTGGAACTTGCACTGAAAGCAGCAGAAGGAGAGAGCAATTCTATCAGAAAGGTTTTTTTGTGTTGTTTTTGGGTCTGTGTGTGTGTGTGTGTGTGATTTCTTTCTTTTTTTTTTTTTCTCTAGCCAAGTGGGAATAGACTCTTCAAATCCAAAAGCAGAGGACCATCAATTTGACAATTACAGCTTCAGTTTTCTCACTTAGTAGTTGATTGATTGCTTACTTTGTATCTGCATGGGCCAGCAAGAGATAAGGGCTGAAGTTCTAGGAAAGTTTAGACATCCGCTTCTGACTGTGGATGGATGTGGTGCTTATGTGTAAGTGGTATATGATGAATATATTGAATTCGTGGATTTTCATGGCTATTGCTGTGTGGAAAAGGCTATCTAACACTCATGGAGTTTTGAGTAATGGGGGCATCAAAAGGTAAATTTGCTGAAAGCTTTCATTTGCTTTCAGGAAGATGTTCCTAATACTTCCTTCCTATGTTCTATTGCTGGACAGACACCAGCTAAGAATATTGATAGCTTAATGTGAAGTATGATGTCTTTATGTTTTGTTTTCAAAACAAAGTTTATTCACACGAATATATTTGATTACATTTTAATGTATCAGAGCCTTATTTCATTAAAATGAAAGACTGCCCTTTTCTACTTTAGAAAAATATTAACCTGTTTACATTAAAATATGAAATAACCTGGTCAGCCATGGTGGCACAGTGGTAATTCAACACTACTCACTGCCAAAGCCACATGGGAAGGTTCCAGGTTCACATTCACATCCCTAGGTCTGCCTGTGTACACTGGGTATGCATGCCCCTAATCCCAACTGACTAAGGCTGGGGATGGGTTAGATCATAAAGACTTTAGTGGTTTTTCTCCCTCTCTCTCTCTCTCTCTCTATCTATCTATCTCTCTCTCTCTCTCTCTCTCTCTCTCTCTCTCTCTCCCTGTCTCCATCTCATGGAAATAAATAAACATTTAAAACATTTAAATAGGGACCAGCAGATGGTGTAATGCTTATGTTGCTGGACTCCAGTCTACTGTGGTTCTAGTCCCAAATCCAGCAGCTTAAAACTCACGCCAGGCGCATGTGCATGCATGCTCAAAATCCCAAGAGAAGAATGGAGGAGAAGAGATTATGGCATGGCCATCCCCTGTCAGGGGTGTTTCTAACTTTGTGTCTCTCTGTCTCTGTCTCTCTGGTGAATACATGTGCCCTACAGCAAAAATCTCTCTCTAGAAAAAAAATAAATTAATAAACATTTAAATAGTGAGTTTTCTAAACTGTGAGGTACTATGTGAATTATAAATATGTAAAAGTCATTGAAATACTTTGTAGAGAAAGATCTTTGCAGATAATTGCCTATATCAATGAAATTACTTCATGGAAAATTTACATCTCACAGAATTCCATACCCAAAGTTAGCAACAGAGTTTAACCTATCCCTAGTAAAGGAATAAGTGCAAATATTAACTCTACACCTTCTAAACACTATCCCAGTTGTCCCAGAGAACTAAATGTAATTGTGCTCAAATGCACTCATTGACCCTCTTTCCTGCTATTTAGCTGATTGGAAATTGGGCTGTTTCATTTCTGGTGACTCTCTGAAGGCACGTTTATAAATGTTATTTGTGTCCTCTCCAGAATTTGTTATTTGATTACATTTTATCTGAAGTCTTCTTGTACTCTTGCTTAGGTAGAGGTACAATATTTGTTAGAATTTTGCTAGTGTTTTTTTTTCCCAATTAATACAGAAGAGGATAAGAAATGAAAGCCTTTCAATTCTTTTTCTATTTTTTATATGATGCCAGATGACACTCTGATTGCTAATCTTTTTTTTTCTTTCATTCTCAAATCAGGCCACAGAAAAATTATAGGATACACTGAATGTGATGACCATCAAGCCATATGCTGCTGCATATTGAATCAGAATTCCAGCAGACTTTTTATTTGCCATTGATTTATAGAGTCTGGAGAGAGTTACAGATGCCATTTAGGAAAATGTTCACATCTCCGTAGCTGGAGGTCCCAAAGACTGATAAATATGTAGTGTTTATGTTCAGTTAGATGATGGTATTAATGTTCTAACTCCAAGATTAAATTCAACAGGTGGTCCTAATCCCCAGCACCTGAATTTCACAAATTACAGCCTGTCTGCGATGATAGTCTTGTTTCATACGGCTGCAGACTGAATTACTGTTGAGATTAAATCACTGTGTGCTCTTGTTGAAAGATACTCTGCAAGTCAAGTCAGTGATAAGCAATACGTGTTGAAGCTTCAAACATCACTTTCCATGGTCATACTCCCTGCTGCCCCTCTTACAAACGATATGAACTGCAATTCTAATTTCAGTATGACTAAACGAAGGCTACCCAGAGTTTCCTAGGATAATGAAGACATTTCGTTTTCTGCTATATTGAGTTCTTCTCTTTTTTCCCAATTCTCCCCAGACCTTTTTCTGCAAATGTTCCAGCAATTCATTTCCACTGGGTTATATGTCTGTGATGGTAGCTACTGTATTTGTATTCTGCCATGACTCTTCTCATTTTTGGAAGCCATTGATATCTCACCAGGTTGCCCAGACACAAGTGAAGTTAAGTTCCATGAGGTTGGGAACTTTCTGCAGTTAGATTTGCAGTATAATGTATAACCAAATTAAAACACACACACACACACACGCACACAATTAAATCAAGAAACTCCAGGGTAAAGCTCCAAGTCTTGTAGCAGAGTGGAAGGAAACATGGAACGCAATTCAGTTTCTGGTATGGATCTGGCCCGGATAGATAAAGTTATTTGGCACCTGCTAGACCCTGGGAAATGAAACTGTGAGCTGATTCCCATTTCCAGTGGACAGGACCTTATCACAGACGGCCACTGTCACGTGAGCTGCCCTGTTCTGAGGTGGCTTATGAAAGGGCAGTGATCAATAGGGTCTGAAGCTAAGCAGCTATCTCCTCACTTCAGAAGTAGCCCCCAAGAATGAATTTCACACATACCAATAACATGCTTGTGCTTGATTTTTTTTTCCTTCCTTAAACACTCAAATCAAAACAAATTCAGACAAATCAAAACTGCTTAGTGGTGACAGTACTGTTACTATTAATTGCTGTATTTCTTGTTGAAGTGATGATAAACCAGTGCAAGAACTGAAAAATAATCCAAAACCGAAATAAAGATAAATGCCATCTAACTTATTTTGAAATTATAGAATGAGTATTTCTTCTTTAGAAAAGTATATAGGCATGGCCATCCTGTCTCTCTGTCTCTCTCTCTCTCTCTCTGGCAAGCACATATTTAAAAAAATTAAATAAAAACTATATAACTTCTCAAAAGCTATTTTATACTATTCACGAGGCCATATTTTATAATGTTTGAGTCATCCAATGAAGGGTAAGTCATTTGGATCTGAAGGGAATTTAATTAGAGCTAATTTTCAGTGCTCAGTATTACAAATGTAATCTGCCAATAATGGTAAAACTCTTATCACAAACCATCCACCGAAAGGAATAGTGAAACAAAGTGTGAGGGCTATTCAAAAAGCTTACGGAAGAGGTGTGAGCACTGTGCAGGGATTTCTAATGTGGGGCACCAAAATAACCTCATACTTTAATTCTATTTTTCTATGTACTTCTTGAAGGCCCCTCACATTTTTAATGGATGAAAAATTGTGATAATATGGTTGCTTTTAACTGAAGTGTTTTTATCACATTTAGTAAAGATTTAACCTTTCTTAATTCTGACTGCAAGGTGCATTTCCGCAGCTTCCCACAGGG